AAAAACGCGAATATTTTTATTCAATTTTTTTATTCAATTTTTTTATTCAGGTCGGTCAAGTCTAGGTCGGTCAAAAATGCGAATATTTTTATTCAATTTTTTTATTCAATTTTTTTATTCAGGTCGGTCAAAAAATAGGTCGGTCTACTTTTTGTCGGTCTACTTTAGGTAGGTCAAATGATATAGACCCCAAGTGGTGGGCAAGCCTGGGCAAGCCTGGGCAAGCCACCCCCCCCCCTCCTTGTCCGCCCTGTCTCGCGGCCGGCGAGCCGGGTCAAGTCATGCTGGCCTAACCTAACCTTCGATCCGATCCGAACTGGAATACCCCGGCTAAGCCGGCGGGCCGCGGCGGGCTCTGCGCTCTGCTCGCGCAGATGTGTACTGCCGGCCGCCCCGCCCCGCCCCGCCCCGCCTCTCACCCCGCCCCGCCCCGGCGTGTCCTGATCCAATTGGCCCCATGTCCGGCGGCCCATGTCCGCCTAATGGGACCTGGCTCGGTCCTGGGCCTCTGCTCCCGCGAGACGGCGCGGCGCGAGGAGAGAGGTCCCCGTCGTCGCCCCCCCCCCCCCTCCCCGTCCCGTCGGTGCAGGGCGGTGGAGGGCGGGAAGCGAGAAGGCGTGCGGCACGGCGGCTGTGCGAACCAAACCGGTCATATCCATTCTCCAATTTGCCTTCACCCCCATCCGCCCCATCTGAATGAGCTGTCGCCTTGACCGGCTCGCGACTCGTGACCGGATTCCACCGCTGGCTGTGCTAGCCTCGCTATCCGCCTCGCTCCGCCTGCACGCCGTGGCTCCGCGCTCCGCTTGGGCATACCCTTCGCCTGAAGCTAGTCGGACTGGGAAGCGGGGTTGCGTCATTTCCATCGACGCGGACCTCCGGGGTGGCCGTGGTCCGCCGGCCGGGCGCTGCATCGCCTCGCACTGCACTGCACCCACGAAACGTGCCGCCAAGGGCGCCAAGGGTCAGCGGCGCCGCGGAGCGCGAGGCGCAGCGCTTCCGTTGCATCAGTCGCGTGGCCCTTCCCTCTTCCCTGCCCTCGTCGCTCTGTCTCTCTCGCACTCACGGCGCGCCCCGTGCGACAGAGACAGAGGCTGCTGCATGACGGGGCGCGGAAGGTGTTGGGCAAGACGCCATTGACGTCAATCGGAGCGATCGGAGTGTAGCGAGTGTAGCGCCCCTGGGTACAAGTCCACGTCCTCCGGGACGCGGGCAGCCCTCCGCCACGCGACCCGGGCCCCGGGCCACGCCGGGCACGCCCCTCCCAGCAGGCTGATTCGGCTCGCGCGCCTCGGGAGAGGCAGAGCCATCAGAGCGAAGAAACGAATGTTCGGAATCAGTTTGACGCGAGCCCGGCTCGGACGCAGGGGATCACCTTCACGATGACCACAACGACCGCAGCGAACATGAGCTGCACCTTCGTCGACTAGAGGGAAGGGCATGTTAAAATGAGTAGTCCACGGTTTCTGTGTTACTGAGGGTGTTCTTTACTACTGTCCTGTGAGGGTGAGGGTGTAGCAGGTAAGCAATAGCACGGTACAGCCCAAGTCAACAAACTTTATTGTCTGAAACCACACAAAATCCTTCTTCACATGCGTTCACTACTACCAAAATATAGACACACAACTCTTTACAAAAATCACTTGGTCTCCAGTCTTGAAAGTCTTAATGCCAATCGCCGCTTTGGACTTTTTTTCCAAAGTGGGCTGCTTCAGTCGGAGGAGAAAATGGAGGTAGCTCAAACCACACTGGGTTATATATCAAATGAAATTTTCGGCATATCGCGTCCCGGTCGGCATGCCCGACCGACACGAGCTCGTGGTAACATATTTTTCACGATTTATAATTCTTGTTTTTTGATGTGCTGGAGGAATTTGGGAACAGCAATCCAACTGTGTGAACTTAGGAGCGGCTTGGGGTGGTTCCTTGAACAATGACAGCCGCAAACAAGTGATGCGAGTTTGTTCAGTGTGGTCGTGCTTTTCGACCCCCGTGTTCTGTCCCGGTCACCGAAGCAGCCCTTGCACCACGCGTCTTACAGTATGGGGGTTGAGAATTCACTCTCCGAAATGCTTCGCTCAGAACGCCAGCGCGGAGACGTGTGTCGCTTCACACGTCGTCGCCCTCCCATCCACGCCACGCCCTAAGGATCTCGCGCTCCGCCCCGCCCCGCCGGCCGGCCTGGGCCCGCGGCCACCGGAGGCGCTGACGTCATTCCCAGATTCCCGGGAAAATGGCTGTATAGTCGGAATGCGCGTGCGGTTGAAGATTTGAGTGACGCACGCAGGTCGGGGAGCCGAGCGCTGCCGAGCGCCGAGCGAGACTCGGGCAGCGGGCGTCACTCTGTCAAAATAACGTGTAGTTTCCCATTCAACTTGTTTTCTTGATCCGTGTGTTTTCCTTCTTGAATAGCAAGAACGAAATGTTTTCTGCAGTGAATCTCCTCAGAAAAGAAGGGGGCCCAGGGTGATTGCGTAGATTTGGGGGATAGTACACCCCGGAGAACGTGGGGAGAGGGGGAGAGTGTTGCTCAAATTCACGAAGCCTATTTTTTTCGCAGTGTGTGGTGGTGAGAAGGGAGAGTGGTGGGGGTTTGCGTCGCGGAACCGAGTGCTAGAAGCGTGTCAATGGAATGCAGCAGCGGTGCAGTCCTGCACGCGGCCGTGGCGCGGTGGCGGCGCGGTGGCGGCGCGGTGGCGTGCGCCACGGCAAGGCGTGCGTAGAGCGTGCGCTGCGCGGGGAGGCTGCGGGAGCTGCGGGTCGCGGGCTAGGTCGCAGGCCAGGCCGCCGCCGAGGCAGGAACACTGTGCAGGAACGGCAGGGTGACTGAACGACGTTCAGAACAAACGTCGTCGGATGTTACGAGCGCGACGCGGACGTACTTCGCGACTGGAGGAAGTGTTTGTGTCGACACATCCTGCGTGTCCCGCTCGCTGTGCGGCCGCGGCGCCGCGGATCCGCGCAGGGAGATAGGCTCCTGTCATCGACATCAATGTTGCTAAACATTTCGATATCGCCCCCCACCCCCTTCCCTCTACAGTTTCTCCAGATCCGCTCCCATTCACGGGTTATCGCGGCGCGGCGCAGCGCGCTTGTGACTCTCGGCGACCCGCGGCGACCCCGAGTAAAGCTAGAGGCTGCACCAGCGGCGGCAGGGCGGCAGGGCGGCACACTGATTCACTCCTCATTAACGACCACATTTAGATAAGGACCTGGCTGAGCGCTCGGCCTGGTGCAGCCGGGCCGTCGCCATATCGCAACCCTTTCCCGCCCGACCGTGGCGACATCGCAATAACGCTATTAGAAGTAATTATTAATATAAATCACCGCCAGTCGCAGTCAGTCCAGCCAGCCCCCGGTTTCACGAGCGGGGCGCGGCGGTGTGGCGGCGCAGCGGCCGGGGGCCACTGATTGGCCGCCGATTGCGGGGTGAAGGCCCCACCGCCGCCGACGCCACAATGTGCAGCAGGACAAGTAGTAGGACCGCCGCCTGGTGCAATACGTCGTGGACGTCGTGGACCTCTTCGTGTTGCCTCATCGGGGGAAATAGTGGGCACCCCGCCGTGCCGTGCCCTGCCCTGCCCTGCCCTGCCCTGCCCTGCCGACGGCGGCGGAAGCGCGCGCCGGATCGCGGCGGCCAATGGCGGCCTGCGCCGCGCCCCGCCGACCAATCACGGCCCGCCTGCAGGCTGGCCAACCACGTGGCCGCGTGCAGCCCGTGGCTAAACCATTTCGGGGGACCGCCAGGCTACGCCAGGCCGATGGCCAGGCCGATCCCCGCGCCGGGCCGGTTGTGTTGCCATGGTCGCAGTCAGTCTCGCGGGGGTCGCGAGGCCAGCGAGGCGCACAGCGCGAACAGCGCAGGGGAGAGTTTCTCCTCTCCTTTCCATTGATGCTCCGCGATAGGTTGGTTGCCAAGGCTGGTGCAAGGCCGGCCAGTCGCCCCAAGGCTGCGTCTCGAATGTTCCGCGAGGCTACGTGCCGAGCAGGCTGCCGCCCAGGGGGTCCGCGTCACGGAGGGGGCGGGGGCGTGGGCGTGGGCGTGGGCGGGCGTCGAGCACCTCGTCGCTACTGCGCCGCCACGGCAGGTGGGGCGTTGCGCGGCGTCGGCGGCGCGGTGGGCTGCTCTGCATGCTCCGCCTGCTCCGGGACGGCGGCTCGTGCTGCTGCAGGCGCGGCGGCGCGGTCCAGGTGGTGGTACAGGATCATGTCCAGGTTCTCCTTGACCTTGATGTCCCTGGGCGCGCCGTGGCCCGGTCGGCCCCACAGCATCTGCCACGTCTCGAAGTGCTGCCGGCTGCGCTCTAGCTCATCTGCCCGCGTGGCCTGTGGCAGAGTTGACCGGGGTTGAGGTTCAAATCCCTTTATAAAGGAGTTCATCGCGGATGCGGTTCGTTGGGACCTACCTCCATCTGGCGCTTCTTCCTGTCGACCTGCGCCGCCAGGTCCCGCCAGGTCTGCTCCTTCTCGTGGCTGCGGGCGAGGAGAGCGGGGAGGCTTTAGGGGATTTGAGATGTTTCGCGCCTCGCCGGCGGGGCGGGGCGGGGACTTACCTCACTTCCTCCTTGACCTTGGTCACGTTGGTCACGTCCGTGGTGGGCAGGTGGGCGCGCGCTCGCGGCCGCGGCAGGGGCGACAGCGGCTCGTCCAGGGGGTGGCGGCGGCGGTCCAGCAGCGGCACCAACTCCACGCCGGCCTGGACGGGCAGAGCATGTGACGTCACTGATCAGTCATCAGTCCGCATGTCCTCGCCCTGTTCTAATTGAATTCATCTGGGACGCGACTGCGACCGGGGCGAAATAGGCGGACATGAGATAAGCCCCGAGTGGCACTGCCACTGGCAGCCGACCGGACCGGACCCGCGGGCAGAAAGGCAAAACGTAGACAGCCCCTGGCAACTCCCATGCCCGGGCTGTCCACACGCTCGCCGCGCTTTTCCGAGCGCCGGAGCGCTGGCGACGCCGTTCCGCGACATTTTAAATCGCAGAAAATATTGAATATCAACTATTAGAAACATATGATGACCTCTAGGCGATGTAAAATTTCACGCAGAATCGTTTTCTGTACTCAGTTTGCCGATATAATGAACGGATGTGGAAATAAATGCGAAATAAGATAACGCTACGACGCCCGTTTTGCCCGCCGCATATTTCCCTTTTGTTAATGCAAAGAAACTATAACATTTAGAGACAAACGGGCACTTGCAATCGAAAGGTCACACTTTTTTCCTTGGATTTTTCACTATGGAATGAATGCGAGTCCGCTGAAACACTTACGGTAACTCAAAGAACGTGATTGATGAATTAGGGCAACATAACCTCTTCATCCCAACGCGTCTTTCTTTCTCGACCTTTTTGATCGTTCCGCTGGACTCGCCCCGTGTGGCCCGAGACCTGGTAAAGATGGTGTTATTTTGGCGTTCTTCGGACTCCAAATGTACTTCAAATTAACACCAAAAGGACACCATAAAAGCACGCTAAAATAACTCCATAATTACATCGAATGCATTTGGTGTCAACGCGGCGTTATTATGGAGTTTTTTTAGTGTAAAAAGGCTCGTTTTTTCACCAAAAGAACGCCATAATAATACCAAAGCAGAGGACAGCCATAGAGAAAAATGACAAAAGAGAGACGGCAGGTGTTGATCCCCAGATCTGCGACTCGGAAGTTTCGTGCGGAACCGCTTGGCCAGAGCGAGTCCGGGAGGACGAGCCGCACGGCAGCTATATGTCGTGCGTTGTGCCGCGCTCGGACTTGGCCCGAATCCCCGCGGCTGGAGCCCAATCTTGTTTCTATAAACATGAACTCGTACAGTGTAGCAGACCATTACAGGTCCTGTCATGTTTATAGAACATAGAACTGGAGCCCAATCTTGTTTCTATAAACATGACGGAACCTGTAATGGTCTGCTACACTGTACGAGTTCATGTTTATAGAAACAAGATTGGGCTCCAGCCGCGGGGATTCGGGCTAAGTCCGAGCGCGGCACAACGCACGACATATAGCTGCCGTGCGGCTCATCTTCTCGGAGTCGCTCTGGCCAAGCGGTTCCGCACGAAACTGCCGTGTCGCAGATCTGGGGATCAACACCTGCCGTCTCTCTTTTGTCATTTTTCTCTATGGCTGTCCTCTGCTTTGGTATTATTATGGCGTTCTTTTGGTGAAAAAACGAGCCTTTTTACACTAAAAAAACTCCATAATAACGCCGCGTTGACACCAAATGCATTTGATGTAATTATGGAGTTATTTTAGCGTGCTTCTATGGTGTCCTTTTGGTGTTAATTTAAAGTACATTTGGAGTCCGAAGAACGCCAAAATAACACCATCTTTACCAGGTCTCGGGCCACACGGGGCATTCATTCCATAGTGAAAAATCCAAGGAAAAAAGTGTGACCTTTCGATTGCAAGTGCCCGTTTGTCTCTAAATGTTATAGTTTCTTTGCATTAACAAAAGGGAAATATGCGGCGGGCAAAACAGGCGTCGTGGCGTTATCTTATTTCGCATTTATTTCCACATCCGTTCATTATATTGGCAAACTGAGTACAGAAAACGATTCTGCGTGAAATTTTACATCGCCTAGAGGTCATCATATGTTTCTAATAGTTGATATTCAATATTTTCTGCGATTTAAAATGTCGCGGAACGGCGTCGCCAGCGCTCCGGCGCTCGGAAAAGCGCGGCGAGCGTGTGGACAGCCCGGGCATGGGAGTTGCCAGGGGCTGACGTAGACGAGGGAAGTTTGAGGTCGCACTTTGGAGGGCCGCCTCATCGTTCTCTTCGTTTTGCACCGACCGCGTGGGTAATGATAAGGTTTGACGAGAATCAAGAGGCCGAAAGGAAAAAGACAAGCGATCCATCTATGTTTCTCGGCACATCAGATGACCGACATGTTCAAACCGGTTCCCCCTGCCCGGCCCTCGACAGGCCCTCGATGAACTGCTGACTTTGAAACATGTGAGAGCAAAGCAAAGCGGGGCTGCCCATTCGCACTGCTCATGACGCGACGCGGTCGCGCCACTCCACTGTTGCGCCCCACGCGACATCGCGACAGTATGACGATGGCTGTGGCCCACTGTGGGGCCCCGGGGCCGTTCGGCCAGCCCGCCTGGTCCGCAGTCCAGGGGATCAGCATCCATTGCACCACCAGGTCAGGGTGTAAAGTCCCGTCCCAAGCGCCGCGGATTGGACTAGTCTGCGAACTACGGTGGAACAAGGCCACGGCCTATCATCTATCGTCCCTGAGATCTCGAGATACGCAAAACGGCGACCATTTCATTTTCACCACCACCACCACTACCGGGAAGGGGGCCGCGTCAAGCAATACTACGCACAGCTTTCGTTTCTCCCGCTGTCAGCTCCAACCCCAGTAGCTTCGGGGGTACACTGGCATGGCCAGCTTGGCGTCGGCGGCGACCGTGTGGGTCGCGCCGCGCCCAGCACGCCGCCTCGCCGCCTCGCCGGCCCTGGCTCATGGCACATGGCCGTCGTGGTGGTGCCCCCTCCATGGCCGTCACGGCCGCGACGAGCCTTGGCCCGGTAGCCCGGTAGTCTCGCCTCGCGTCGCCCTCGCCTGCTTCGCCTTCGCCTTCGCCTTCGCCGTGCTCTGCTTTGCCCCGCCGCGCCGCGCCGCCGCCATGCCGCCTTGCCTTCCGCTCGCCCCGCGGTCTATTCAAACGTGTCGGGGTCACGGCGCTTTTTGGCGGATCGGCTGGATCGCGGATGGCGCGCGAGGCAGCCATTTCCACGGTCGACGGCCGCCGCGCCGCCGCGCCCGCGTTCGCGATCCTCTGCTTGGGGGCTTTGCTTCGCGGAACGCGGCGGGCAATCGAACGAAGCGAATAAGCCAGAGCCAGCCTCAAAGGACAGGCTTTCGGCTTCCGAATGAATGGCGGAATGGCGCCGACCCGACCATCAATCTTCAGACCGATTCCGAGAGTCGTTTTCGTCGCTTTGTCTCCCTCGCACTCATGGGGCGTCCCGTGTAGGTGCGAGGGCGACAGAGCGACGACAACGACCCTCGGAATCAGTCTGCTTGACCGCGGACCGCGCAACGCAAATCAAGTGTGTGTATCAGCAATCAGTACCCCGGGAGTGAAGTGAACGGCCTCCGCGGCGCCGCGCCGGGCCCGGCACGGGGCTCGGCACACTGTGCTCGGCACTCGGCACGGGGCCCGGCACGGGGCCCGGCACGCCGATGCTGAGCAGGGCTGTGCTGCGCGCGTGAGGAGCGTGAGGAGTCCCGTCGGGGTGCGAGGAAGACACAGCGACGAAGTGCTGTTCCTGTTCCACGATGTTCGGGGTCAGCCTGCGGCCCCGCCAGCCCCGCCGGCCCAAGGGCAGGTGGCACCGCATCACGGCCACTAGCCGCGAGGCCGCGAGGCCGCGAGGTGCTTGCCCTGGAAGACTGGCGGAGGGCGGCTGGCTCCGACAAGGGCCGACAAGGGCCGACAAGGGCCTAGGCGGCCGAGGCCTAGGCAGGCACAGACAGTCGCATTGGCTCGTCTAGGCTAACTGAATCCGCCCTGAGGCGGAGTGCGGTGCTGCCCCCTTAATGAAGACTTGGTCTCTCTCTCTCACTCCCTCTCCCGCTCCCACGCAGAGGCAATGAAGGAACGGTTCGGACTCCGCCATTACCTCCACCAAACGAATCGCTCCGCCACAACGGCCAGCTCGCCCAAGTCTTCAAGTTTTCAATTGCGGGACTCGTTCAATTAGCTCGATAGGTTAATGATGATTCGCGAAATGAGAGGACCCCTTTTTGTGGGAGCCGAGCGGCCGAGGCCGACAGAGAGACTGTCAGAGACTGGCCGGCGGGGTGGGGGCAGCGCGGCCCAGCGCGGCGGTGGCAGTGCGGTCCTCGCCCCGCGGCCTCCGCGCGGCCTCCGCCAAACTTGCGGGCGATTGTCATGAGTGAAGGACGCATTTATACCAAAGCACGCTGCACGCTCCGGGACCTTCGAGGGCGTTTTTAGAACTGCGGGACACGGCGTCAGGGACGCCGCGGAGGCCTGGGGGCCGGGGCAAGGCGGGGGAGAGCACGGCGATGACAGGGCACGGGGTGCCGTGGAGGCACTTCCTCCAGGAGGACGGGACCATCGATTCGGGCGCGGAGCGCGCCATGGCACTGCCATGCAGACTGCTGTGAAAAGCAGCGTTTAGGGAAGGGGGTCGCGACATGCCCGCCAAAGCTGGGGCCTGGGGACGTGACGTGGCTTGGAGACAAGTCGGGGGTTGCGTGGGGCGTGGGGCCCGGGGCCCGGGGCCCGCTGGGGCCGCCGCCAAGGCCTTGCCACGCCGCACCAGGTACGGGGGCTCCCCTCAAGGACGCCGCCGAGGTACTCACCGTGCTCTTCGGCGCCGTGTCCGCCGACGGGGCGCCCGCGCTGCGCCGACGGCGCACGTGGCCTTGGTGTGCGTCCGTGTCGTCGCGCTCCTGGTGGCGGTGGCCGTCCTGGCTGTCCTGGCCGTCCTGCTGCTGCGCGGCGCCCCGGTCGTGCTGGTGCTGGTGGTGCAGGGACTTCTGGTGCTGTTGCTGCTGCCGCTGCTGCTGTTGCTGCTGCCGGAGTCGCTTCTCCTGCACCATGCGGTCTGCCAGACAAAGCCAACGGACACCATCACCTTTGACAGGCCTCAGACGATCCACACTCTCCCTCCCTTCGCCGGCAGCCAGGCAGCGACCCCTTCCGGCCCCCGTTACGGCGTTCCGTCCCGGCGTTCCGGTGCACCGTATGGGGCGCCTTGACGCCGGCACAGGACGGCATGCACGGCACGGCACGGCACGGCACGGCACTGCATGACGCGGTCGATGCACCCGAATGCGATGCGCGCCGTGTGTGCCGTGTGCCGTGCGCCGTGCGCACAACACGCTAATGTCAACACAACGCTCCCTCCCCTCTATCGCACGCATTTAATGCTGTGTGCCTCGGCCCGATAAAAACGGAAACGGAAGTGAATGGATATGAATGAAATTGAATGGGCCCTGCCGCGGCCTGGCCGTGCGGCGCGGAGGCCCCCTTCGGCGTAGGCCGGCGGGCGGCGCGGGAGCGCGTTGGGCTGCCTACCCGGCCGGTGGCGGGCGCTCGGGGACCTCGGCGACGCTGCCGGCCCGCCCGGCGGGTAGGCAGCCCAACCAACACGCCGCGCCGCACCCTCCCGGTCTCCAGGAGCGGGGGCCGGGGGGAGGGGAGGGGCGGTGCCTTACCTAACGCGTTCCGCCCCAGTGCGGCCCGCGGCCCGCGGCCCCAGCCACGCCTCGCACGGAAACGCGACACGAGACAGGGCGATCGGCCGATCTGGCGACACTGATGTTAGCACTGTCAACACGCTTCATAGCTGCATGGCTGCAGCGACACGTGCCAGCGCCAGCCACGTGCACGCGAGAGCCGCGACGCGCCTTGGCGCGATGCGCGCGATGCGCGCGATGCACATTGCTCCCAACCGAGCCACACCCACTATGTTCACTATGTTCACACGGCGAGAAGCTGTTCAAGCCCGGAACGTAACGGGCTTTGAGCGGGATTCTGCCCTTCTTTCTCCTTTTACCGAAAACTCGTGTCATGCCAGAACGCAACGCAACGTGGAGCGATGTGGCCACTTCAAGACACTCCCGGTGCTCCTGCTGCTCACCCAGGTCGCGGCGGTACTGCTCCTGCTGGCGCGGGTCGGTGCGGTAGCGCAGCAGGTTGTCGACGGCGCGCCTGTCCGCCTCCTGGAACTGGAACAGCAGCTGGGGGTCGCAGCGCAGCCGGCGCGTCTCGCTGCCGTTGACGGCGTGGCGGGGCTGCGACGGCAGCCTGGGCAGCGTGTGGCAGCCCGACGCCCCCGACGCCAGCCCGGCCGCCAGCGTGGTCGTCGACGGCGGCGTCGAGGCCGTGGCGCCGGGCGAGGTGGCGGGCGGCGGCGACGTGCCGTACAGCGTCTCCAGCTGCAGGGCCTTCCGCTTGCGGATCGTGTCAGGGTTGGGCGCGCCGCCGCCGGGCCGCCCCCATGGGCTGTACGTCAGCAACATCTCTCGGAGCTGCGAGGGCAGGTCATGTTTCAAGTTCAGTTGAAAGGAAAGTTTGCTCACGTTCGGACGCACCAGGGTGCAGTTGCGGGAAAATGCGATCAGTTTGAACTGTCTCGGTTCTATGTTTTCGTCCTGAGAAACGCGTGTCGTAGTCCAGCGTCCAGTCAGCCAGCGGCAACTCACCTGCTTCTGCTCGTGGGCCTTCTTGGCGAGGAGCTGCTGCTGTCGGCACCGCCACACGTCCAGCCCCTCCCGCATGAGGCGCGTCTGTGCCTCGCGGCGTCGTCGGGCGGCAGTCAGGGCCCCCGCGACATCCATCGCCCGGGCGGCGCGGCCCGGCCCGGCAGGCCCGGCCAGGCGGCTAGGCCCAGCAGCAGCAGCAGGGCGGGGCGCGTCCGGAGCAGGACGTCCCTCCCCCGCGCGGGACGGCGCGGCGCGGCGCGGCCGGGGTGGGCGTGGTTCGCGACCCTGCTCTGGCCGTGGGATGACGCGACGCGACGCGGACGCAGCGATGCGCGGCAGGAGCGGCGGGAGTCCGATGGCGCCTTGGTCGTCGCCGTCGGCAGGAGCAGGATCGGCGGAGGCGCAGCGACGCGCAGCGAGCAGCCAAGGCGAGGCCCGCGTCGGCCTCTCGGCGCCCGACCCGAGTCGACTCGCGCGCGGTGCGGCGTGCGGCGTGGGAGGCACTCTTTTGCCCGGCCGCGGCGAGGGGCTCGGGGGCCTCGCCGGGGCCCTGCGCTGCCCTGCACTGCCCTGCGCGGAGCAGCGGAGCATCGCGGGGGCGGCTTGGCGGCGGGGGTGCCTTGGCGGAAGCGGCCGAGGGAAGACGGAGGCACGGAGGCGGGGGTGCATTCAACCCCCGCGCCGAAGTAGGCCAGTTTATTATATTCCGAGCATCCCCCTCCCTTTTGAGGCTATATAGCAGCAACTGCTTGTCTGGTCTTCTAGCCCGGGGATGGTCAGGGGTGTGAAGGGTTGCTTTTGAAAGGGGGTGGGGGAGGGTCCAGACAAGCACACCCATCGTGCGCAGCCACGCTACCGCGCGCCCCGCGCAACGCCCAAAATGCACGCAACGCGTCCAAGCCCCAAGCCCTCGCCGCGCCGACGAACCGAAACTTGGTTTGTCTCAGCAGCAGTTTGCCGCTGCCGAGTTCGGCACGAAACCGGAACCGGAAGGGGAAGAGCGGTTGCCCGACGTGCTGCGCTGCGTGAGAGCTCCAATTAAATTTGCAACTTGGAGTCGGCCGACGCGATCCCGTATTCAGTCGCGTGTCTGCGTGCGCCGACTGATTGGCGAGATCCAACCACTCTGCTTAAATACATTTCGCGTGTCGAACGGGGTGGTGCCTGCCCGTCCTGCCCTTCCCCCTCATACCGGTGCGGCGGCCGGCGAGGCAGCCCGGCCCTTACTTCCGCGCGCACGGTGCATGGTGCCCGATGGTGCCCCTGCCGTTTAGCGGCCCACGCCGGTAGGGGCTGTAGGGGTCTCGGGACGGCCGAAGGCACCGGAGGCAACGAGCAGCTACAAGGAATGCAAGCTTTGATTTGTTGGCTAGGGATCGATGTCTTGCCCCGCCCCTCTGGTTCCACCCGCTGCCATGCAAGGCGCCGCGCACGTGTCCGCGCGTCCTTGCTGCTCGTGCCCAAGAAGGCCCTGCGGCTCCTGCAGCCTGCAGCGGCCCTCTTGGGCGGGGCGGCCGATTGATACCGAAGGACCGTTTCGTCGCTCTGTCTCTGTCGCACTCATGGCGTGTGCCACAGGCGTGCGACGGAATCGCTGGGCTGGTCGGCGTCGGCGGCTTCTCGCCGAGTGAGTGTAGAGTGTAGTTGCGCCACACTCGCGCTCGAAAAAAGAGAAGACGATCGTCTGTTCGAGTGTTTATTGCCCTTAACTGCTTGTTGCGGCCGCCGTGCTGCCGGCTGCCGAGCCGCCGTGCCGTGGGGCGTGGCCGCTGATGACGGCTCCGGATGGTCCCCGCCCGGCCGGCGTGCCCCGCGCCCCGCGGCTCCAGGCTCGCCGTCGACGTTGAGCACGCCGCGAGGCACTTGGAGGGACCACGGCTCGGCTCGGGTGTGTGCCGTTGGGCGCCGTGGGCAAGTCGCCGTGCCGCTGCTATGAATGTCTCGGTGATTTCCGCCGAGGCGTCGCCCTGTTACGCCCCGGCCTGGCCAGACTTCGAACAGCGCTTCGTCGCTCGGTCTCTCTCGCGCCCATGCGGAACGCCCCCTGAGGGCGAGCGAGACAGTACGCGAAAGCACTGTTCGGAAGCAAGCCTGCTGGTGTAGTCCTGGTCCAGGGCGGGGCGCGCCGCGCGCCTCGACGGGGCCCTTGCAGACGACGGCACTCGGGTACACCAGGGCCGAATGACCTCCTCCCCTCCTCCCCGGCCTCCTTTTCATCCAGGGACCCACTACCAGTACGCGGTACGCGGGGGCGGAGGGCACCTTGAGGCCAAGGCCAGAGCGGGGACCGCGCGAGGCGCGACCTCCCACCGTGGCCCGCGGCCCACCCGCGGCATGGCATGCAACCACATCAATGCCTCGCCTCATGACATCTCGGGCTCCTTGGCTCACGGGCCTCCGACACTCGCTACCTGGTGCATGAACACAAGGCGGCCGGAACACGACATGGATGACGAGGCTGACGTCAATCTTTCGATTGAAATGTTGTTTGAAAAATTGGTCGGGTTGAGGAAACACTATTTCATCGCTAACCCTGCCGCGTGCTACTGTGTTCCGACATTATCGCAACATGTGCACCCTGTGAGCCCACTACTCTCTCTTTGAAGGTCCGCGCCGCGACCGCGGTCCAGAGGCCAGGGCCAGGGCGCCAGGGCCACGCCGCAGGTCCAGCACGCACATGGAGGCCGGCTGGCTAATAGAATTAGCCAGAGGCGGCGGAGTCGCTGGCTCGTCAGCTCACAAAGGCGACTTATTTCCAAAACGGGAAAATCCGAGGGACAATCTTTGGTCTTATCAATGGTGGGATGCATAAGTAAAGAATGCAGAAGGATACTTTTATTTTTTTGAACCCTTATATTTCAGTACAAGAAAGAATCTGTATGTTCCACAATCTTTCATTATAATCTCTATTCAACCATGCCCTGCAGGACATGACAAAACACAAAAAGTACTGAGTCAAACCAACACAATGTAATGATTTGCGAAACAATCCACAAACAACATTAAAAAATAAACATCTTCACATTTCAAAAAAAAGAAAAAAAGACAGCAAGTTCTAATAATAAAAAGGCATAAATAAAAAAATATCAAGAAAATAAAATAAATTATAGCAGCTTAATGCCACAGGTAAAAGAAAAAGAATAACAGCTGTTACTTCTTTGTGTTGATTTTACCCGTACTTTTCGTGATATACTGGAAAACCAAAAATCTAATTTGCGCCTTGGCGCTTGCTGCCCAATCAGTCTATGTCAGTCACGTTCACTGCCATAATGGGAAATCCTATGTTCTACTGCTCTTAGACTGGTTAACACAAGCTTCAGTGAAAAGCAGGATGAAGCTAAGAATGAAACAAAGAAGTTGCAAATTTAATTAATTGACATACCCTGCAATTTACCTAAACTAATGCATATATTCTATCCCAAATAAATGCATTAACATTGTAACAGGATAACATCAAAAACATTAGACATCTGTACATGACTGGTCACATAACACAAAGAAAATTAATTGATAATAGATTGCCGTATAATGTTTTTGCCTATGTCATTTGGAAGGCCAAACTCGGCTGTTCATTCTACAAGCATAGTCATCAGCACAACAAATAAGAATTGTATCAAGAGGACAGTAGAACAAAGAGGAATACGAAAAAGAGTAGACAAAGCTATCACAAGTCACAAAATCAAATACCAGCTCAGCTTTCCTCAGCTGACTTCATACCCGCGAACTTTAACAAAATGAGCACGTAAAGCTCGGTTAATTAAAATAAATTATTTAAGATAAAGAAGACGTTGTATTGAATTAAGTTGTCTTAAGATGGGCTACACTTCTACATTACCTAGAAGGCTGCTTGATATGGCAAACCAAGGACCTGTTGGTATCAATATCAATGCCCAAAGCAAAACTGTTGTCAAAACGAAATTCTACCACTTTGAACGAAAACGAACAGCTAGTGATGAACACCAAGAAAAAAAAACAACAGAAACTATTTTCTTATTGTTTAAAATACACCTAGTGAATAGAATCGTTAAAATGATATTTAAAAACAGTACACTAAAAATCAGTCAATGACTAAAAGAATGAAGAAGGAAATGTGTGTTAAAACGTAGTTGTCAAGAAACACATGGGTAAAAATCACTGACAAAACATTTACTGCCATGATAAAGCATGTCTTCAAGATCAATGAACTTCAGGGGTAAAAAGAAAGGTGAAACATAGATATTGAAAGAAACTTTGATAAAGAGAGTCAAATTCTGAGGTAGTGGGTAAATTAGGGACACAGCTTAAACAACTTTGGATACAATATTTCATAACAGAACTACACAGACAAGCAAGCATACGCTCATATTAATTAGCAACATGCACATGAAATCATAGAAATCTGAATCATCTGTATTACCACAACTATAGTTCTACTAAACAATGTTAATTTGACACCCAAAGATAACAAGCAAGTTAATTGGACTGAATTTTGCATGCAGAGCATCACAATTCGTTAAATGTAACTTCAGAATACATCTATGAAACAAACATGACTTAAAAAATACTGAGAATAGCTCACATTATGTAACATGGTGAGATAGTCAGAAAGATTCTGCAATGAAGGTGTTTTCACAACCCTCGACCGAGACTCATTTAAATTGATATACAAACATCAACTCCGTCAACATATTTCTACCACTGCACATATAAGAAAAATAAGGTTTGTATAAAGAACCTTGTTCCACTGAAATAAGTCTGAAACGAGAGAATTGAATCCCAGTCAAATAACAAGCACAAGTAGCAACACGGTTTAGTCTATGCCTGCAAAAATAATTCAATTCACTTAAGATCTCTCAAGTTCAAACATTTCCCCTAGTGACCCAAGGGTGACTTGCCGATCGCAACTCAACAAACATACTGGCACCCATTAGTGCCTGACATAAGGAAGATCATACAAAAACTATCATTAACGTACTCAGCCATCAGCCAGGTATATGGAGGTAATCCACAAGACAACAAAATGAAACAAAACAAAAAAAAAATCCAAAAGGGATAAAATTTGAGGTACTTATGACAACGGAAGGACGGACACTGCCCTTAGGGAGTAGCTAACCTCTACGAACCGGTGCCCTAGACCTCGCCGAGTTGGCGAAAGTCGAGCCAGAGTCCAAGACAGGGGGACACTGGGGCCGCCACTGCTCGCTCGCGGTCCTAGCACCTCGTGCTACTCGGGCCAGGCCGCCCTGCTCCCCGCCCTGCCAGCGCCACCCTTTACAGGGTGGTGGCCTCGGAGGCGGCGGCGTCCTTCACGACGACGGCCTCCGGGGCCAAGTCGGTCGACGCGGACGCCGAAGCCGACTTGCTGGACTTACTATGGCGGGAAGCGGCGTGTCCCTATATTCGATGTCTTTTGCCACGTCTACCACCGCGGAGGTGGCCGCGCATGGCGTGCCACTGCTCGTAGTAGCGCTCAGCCTCCAGCCACTCCTGGTACTTGTACCACCACTCCTCCCACTTCATGTAGTCGTCCAGCGTGAGGTCGCGCAGGTAGCCGCGGTCCTTGTAGTACTGGAAGCGCACGCGCACGTCGTCCCAGGCCTCCAGGCCCACGGGGGCAGCGTGCAGCGCCTCGGGGAAGAAGCCCAGGCCGACGCGCCGGTCCGACACGGGCATGGGGCTGAGGGGGCGGTAGGGCGCGCCGTCGTCGTCCTCGTCGATCACCACCTTGAAGTCCGTGCCCTCCGACTCCCTGGTGATGCGCATGTTGCGCACGCCGTCCAGGTCGCGCCGGTTCTCGCTCCACTGCGCCATCTTGCCGAAGCGCTCCGACAGCGTGAGCCGGGGCGCCCCCATCGAGGACCGCGAGGACGTGGAGCACGAGTCCGAGTCCGAGCCCGGCATCGGCGGCGAGTGGTGGCGCGGCACGCCCTCCAGCTTCACCATGGCGAGGCCGGCAGCGGCACGCCGGCGTTTGCTCATCCCCTGGAACAGACGAGCAGTTTGAGTAAACCGTGGCCGCGCGGGGCGGGGCACTGCCCACCGTCCTCGACTTGGTGTCGTCCTCACCTTGAGCTTCGCCTTCTCCCTCTCCGCCCTGCGTTTGGCCTTGGCGGCGCGCCTCGCGGCCGGGGGTGGCGACGGCGGCGGCCCGCGGGGGTCGCTGGGCGGCGGGCTCACCACGGGGCGCCGCGGGATGGTGGGCGGGCTGGCCGCGGGCAGCCGTCGTGGAGGCGGCGTGCGCCGAGTCGGCGGCGTGTGGCGGCGACTGCGAGACGGAAACCCAAATCAGTCATTCAATGTCAACTAAGGGCAGCTTGGGCCTCAGCGGGGGTAACTTGGACCTACCCTTGCGGTGGCGGCGTGGTGGCCTTCTTGGCGCCCTTGCTCTTGGGCAGGCACACGGAGCACACCGAGTCGGAGCAGCTGCTGACGGACCGCGAGCTACCGGACGCGGACGGCGCCCGTAGCGGCGAGGCGCGGCCCTTCCGCCGGACGTCCATGGGCTCCGGGCGACGAGACGCAGACGGCTGCGGGCAGGGAACAACAAGTAGAGTCCAGTCTCGCTTGGGGATGTTTGTACGAGGGACGCGGCTCACCTTCGGCGGGGGCGGCTCTGGCGTCTGCGGCCGTCGTGGCCGGGACCGGCGGCCCTGGTCCTTCCTGATAGGTTCGCGGGCACGCTCCCGCTCTCTCTCCCTCTCGCGGAGCCTGTCACGCTCCCTGTCCCTCTCCCGCTCCCTCTCGCGCTCGCGCTCCCTGTCCCTGGAGCGCTGCCTGGGCGGGGGCGAGGGCCGCGCCGGCAGTGGCGGGGACCGAATGCGATCGCGGCCCAGGGGTGCGCGTCGAAGGCCGCCAAGGCCGCCGCGGGGGCTGATGGAGCGCGACTTGTTGGACCGCGAGCGCGACTTGGAGCGCGGCCGCACGTGGGAGCGCGAGCGGGACCGCGACCGGGAGCGCCGGTTGCTGGGCGAGCCGTCGGCGTACAGCTCCTTGTAGCCACTGTGTCGCCATCTGGAACAAGGGGACATGGCCAAGAGTTCATGACGAGAGCGGTGGAGGCCAAGGGGCCATCGCCATAGGTTGATTTCGACTGTACCTGTTTGGGTCCTTCTCTTCAGCCTCCAACAATTTCTTGTTCCAGTAAATACTGGGCTTCGAGTTGTCCTGGCGTGCCTTCCGCATGACGTTGTTCAGTTCATTCCGCTTCGGAGCTGCAGAAGAGAATCAGACAGTGAGCCACCTGTGTGAAGGGTGAGGCACTTGGGCCCTCCAGGTCCTCCAGGCACTAACGGAGACTTACATTTGCCGCGCAGTCCGGAGCGGCCGTTGCTGCTGCTCGAGTAGGAATCCATTCGCAAGCGGCTCTGACTTGACCGCGAACGTGGAGACCTATCGTATCTTGACATCTCTACTTCATCATCGCCATTGGAAGTGTGCTGGAAAAAGAAGAGGGCACAATAATTAGAGATGTGAAGTATCAAGTCGTCACAAAACTCCGTGAGTTTCAAGTCCTGAAAACACAGTGACTCCAAGGACAAATGCACAATGCAGGCCACATTTAAGAAAAAAGATTAAAAAAAAATAAAGTAAAGAAAAGCTTTGACCGACATATTTGTTCCTAAATTATTAACTATTTTGAGCGATGAGAATGAACATAACAAATTTAATTTCACATTTTTCTATATCTAAGTTAGATGATGTGATTTGAATGATCCTTGACAAAGCGGGAAATTTACAGTGCTTTGGAACACATTAGATTAAAATTGAGGGGTGCTGAATTAAGAAGACCTACTGAAATTGAGATTATATTGTGACTGAATGTAAAGTTAATGATTATTAATGTTACAAAGTTAAAAAAAGAAAAAGGGAACCTCCAGATATATTTAGTCCCAAAGAGAATTGAATTTAAGTAAAAGGAAGTTTTATCTCTATCTAGTTCTATTTTCCAAAGATGATTTTTTTTCTTTTAAATTGGACTGAACTTTGAAATAAAATGTATTAAATGAATTAAATGAAATCTCTGAATGAAGTGGGAGATAAGAATAGGGACAAATAATAAGACATCCATACCTCAGCACCATCACTTGACTAAACTGAAACCGATGCCACCGGTTGGCATTTGGATAAGCGATACCCACTTAGCGAACGAAAAGTAGGCCTCCGAAACGGTTCACTTCCCGAGAAGTGACGACATACAGTATGCGGTTCAAGCGGATACATAACGGATCTGACCGATTGTTGAGGGATTAGCGAACAGGCTCAGCGACGGTCGGTAAAAGAGCCAAGCGGTACCCTCAGTATAGCCGGATGGTCAACAACGAGAAAGAGACACATCAGAAGAAAGCCTGCCAGCCCGCGATTGGCAGACTTTCAAACGGATTCAGCGGCACGCAGCTGACCTCGTATCACGAGAGTCCTTCCGAAGGGTCAGCTTTGGTCACCACGACATTTCACGCTGAGCCAAACAATCGGACTTTGGCACAACAAGATCGAGAGTCCATCACAATTGCGGCCGGCACTGAACAGCACGAAGGAAGTAGCACATGTCTTCCTCATGGTATCCAATGTAGATGAGCTCCAACACATATTCTTCTAGACACTTTCACTCAAAGATTTTGTAAAAAAACTAAAAGGGATACAATATGAACAACAGGGATTCTTATGTTTCACTGAATTTACACTCAAGCTTGGACAATTCATAAATATACACTCTTGAATTGTGAGGAGATGCTATCCTTTACTTCTTAGGCACTCGGAATTTCATCTGTAACCAACAAACACAAAGTATTAATTTGGGAACTAATAAATTTCCATCCCACAATTTAAAGGGTAAGAGTACTTACTCTTCTCTTTGTGCGGTGGTAACAAGCAAAGTAGATGTGGACTGACATCACAAGCTAAATTTATCACAGGCAGTAAGAGTACATTCACATTCAACCTATCTCACATCCATTCAAATTCAAGTTTTCCTTAGCTGCATGATACATTTTTTTCTGATAAAAAGGCAAACAAGATTTTTTTCTTGACCAACTAGAACTAGCTTCACATTGTTTTTCATATTGACACATGCCGAAGTAACAGAAGTTAACCATAAAATTTAAAGTACTTGCTGAATTGAACAGCTGATGTGGTATACCATGAACAGAGCACATTTGAGAAGAAACCACACAATTCAGTTGCATTTTAACGTAACGAAACTAGCTTAAATAATAGAAATGCGAGCCAACAATCAAAGAAAAGTAGTAAATATTAAATGAAGCAGAGATTTAACACTTTTATAGAAGGTTATGGACGGTTAAGCAGTTAGAAGACATAAATTAAAATAAGACAAATGGTAAACCGAAAATTTCAGAGTTATTACGAAAACAAAAACAAGATAGCGCAAAGAGCACAATTTTCGGATGGTACAATAACAAAAATTGGGAACAAATCTGTTTTCACCAAACAGGCTTCAGCCTAGACTGGAACCAGGTCATTGGTGGCGAAACAATACTGGTAAAACTAGAACACCAGATTTGGGAAAGTAGCTAAATCATTTGTGCCTTTCCACACTCACATTCCAACACTCGAGAAAACGGCGAAAACCGAGATACACGACGCGAACTAGGGAAAAACGGTGAACTAGCTTGACTCTTCTCACTTTTCGGGGTTCCGGAGTCCGGTTCGATCCGGTCACTGCACCCTGGATTCTTCTCACCAAAAGTATTTATGTCATCACATGTCAAACAAGTGGCGAATGGCCGCAATGAAGACAAACGTTTGGAAAGAATTGGAAAGTACAACAAGACAAATGCTTCTTTAGATTGTCTCTTTTGCTAAGAAACAAAACTTGAAAAAGGAGAGTATCCAGGGGGTTGTGTGTGGCGGAGGAGCGGGGGGCGGGGGTGGGGTTCAAAGGTCCGTCCGGTTCTTCACATCCATCGCTCTTCACTCTTCATTCACATGGTCGCGGTGATTGAGTGTCATTTGCTTCACCTTCACATTGAATTTGAATCTCGACAGCGAAACAGCTGAGGACTGGAGGAAAACTGTAGCGATTCTGTGTTGCATTTCATCCGCCACGATGTCTGTCAAGTGCAAAATCGGACCTTCAATTTTGAACGCAGATCTCTCTGACCTGTCTGATGCATCTTTAAAGCTGCTTGACAGTGGAGCAGACTACTTGCACCTGGATGTTATGGATGGTCATTTTGTTCCTAACCTTACGTTTGGACACCCTGTTGTAAAGTGTTTACGTAAAAAAATTCCCAAAGCCTTCTTTGAAACGCATATGATGGTGTCTAAACCAGAGCAGGTAATGTTCATGTAAATAGCATTGAGTAAAGGAACTTGTTTATTATCTTATAATTGTGTTATCTCTTGTTGCAGTGGATCGAACCAATGGCTGATGCGAGTGTTGATCAATACACCTTTCACATCGAACCTGTTGCTGATGTCCCTAGCGTTTGTCGCAAAGTGCGAGAAGCTGGCATGAAGGTCAGCGTTTGTCTGTCATCTTGTCAGTGATGACCCATTGTTGTTTGTAAATGTTTTAACCCGTTTTTGGTTTTTAATACTAAAGGTTGGCCTTGCATTGAAACCGGGCACTGGTGTCGAAGTGGTTTCCGAGTACGTGGACATGGCTGATATGGTGCTAGTGATGACCGTTGAACCAGGGTTTGGTGGGCAAAAGTTCATGTCTGACATGATGACGAAAGTGAGGTGGCTGCGTGAACACTATCCATCTCTCGATATAGAGGTTGATGGTGGTGTTGGGCCATCAACTATTGACACTTGTGCGCAGGTATTTTTGCCTTGCATTTGTATGTGTGTTATTGATTTTTACTTGTAAGTGTTCTCACTAATACTTTGGTTTTGTTGCAGGCTGGTGCAAACATGATTGTGTCGGGGACTGCTGTGACAGGAGCTGCAGACCCATCTCAAGTTATCAAGTCCCTGCGGAGCTCAGTGGAAGCGGCAATTAGCAAATCGTAAATTTTAATCTGTTCTGTGATTGTGTAAAATGTTTAGGCAGCAGGCCTGTCTTTTGAAATGTGACTGATTAGTACAAAACTTCATTCCACTTTTTGTTGGGGCATTTTATTGGATGTTTCTACTTTTTTTACCTTGCAATTTGTTGTGTGGAACTTAGGCTAAATAAAGTCTTGCTTTGCAGATTTCTTGATTGAGTTTGATTTTGCCTGTCTTTTGACACCTACCCGAGGATAGAGGCCTATATACTTGAAGTATTTAGGCCTCTACCCGAGGATAGTCGAGAAGCTGATCCGAGCCATTCATTTTGAATTTAGTGCCCTTCATTGTCGCCAACAATGTTTCTTCCATCAACATGATATTTTACGAGTTATGCCAAAATGCATACTGGTGTGTACGTATGAAAGTACGGCACAGGGCTCTAATTTGCTTTCCTAGAATACAGCTGGCTTCTTTGATGAGTTTTCTTTCACAACGGGGTGCTAGTAAACTTTGCTCAGTTGGTAATGTCCGCAATGCGCCTGCACCACAGCGACACCTGTCGCTGCTATGTGGAAGCTTCGGACAGGTGCTGCACCTCTGCGGCGGACCGGAGAACTAGGAAATGTAAACGTCTCTTCAGCACCGAGCGCCGAGCGCGATCCGCCCCGCCAGAGCCGCCAGCCGCCGCCCCGCCACGCCAGTCACCAACACCCAACAGAATTTGAAGTGGTGGGAGACAGGGCGGGCCGTGTCGGCCAAACATGCAAAGATGATTTTTACCGCACATTTCTTTAGTTTCCTTTTGTGTGGTGTCCTTTGGTTCAACGGCGCTGCTGCAGGTAAGGCTACTCAATTCACGCTTCGTGTCCAAAATAGTGATCACTCCTTTGACGGAGAGGTTAGCAAGTACCCGTGAATCATGGGGCCCAGCCCACTTTGTGGCGTCCCCAGAGTCTAACCTATTGTATTTTTGTAGAGTTTTACCCAAGGTCTTTCGGTCTCTCAACCGAGATCGAATTGTTTTGTGAAACCTCTGCTGTGGACTTTCTTTGTCGATTTATTCTTATTTCTACAGTGTCATACTGTCAATCTATATAGAGTCCACCTGGATTGATGTTTTGAATTTTGCACTTGACTTATCTAATTGTTTCAGACTTATTCATTATTTTTGTTCTTAACTAAATTTTCTTGTATGAATGTGATTACAGATTACACGTATTATGAATGCAATCAGCCTTTACTCGCCAATGCTCGACTTACTGCAACTTCTTCACTGCGCGAAAGAGGGCCGGATAAAGCCCAGTTGAATAGTAAGTATTGTGGAAGGCAACTTGTAAATTTCAAGAGATTTAAGAGACAAACAATATTTTTGTGAGAGTATGTGTGTTCCTATTTTCTAAGAGTGGAAGCGTCTTGAACTTCATGTAGATTTAAGTTCATTTGGTACTGGATATATTAAAAATCATGTAAATATATCTCTTAAGAAGGCACTCTGTTCAATATGATACTCTTTTAAAGTGCACCCTAGTGTAGTGTAATTTAAATCTTTTTTTTTTTTTTTTTTTTGGTAATGTGCAATTTGTATTATTAGTGAAATTTTATTTTATTTAAGAGGCATGGCCATATTTTTGTTTGCTCTAGCAGTAGTTTATGCATTATTGGTCAATTTTTAAAGCATCTCTTAGTTCTTTTTTAACCCATGTATCAAAGTTGCCTCCCTCCACGCCCTTGTGGTCTTGGAATTCCATGTGAGGGAGCCATGAAACTCCTGCAGGGCATTGACTGAATTAATAGATCCTTGACTGTCTCCGTTCCTGGAGGGGCACCTCGTGTATGCAGGTGCGCGCGCGCACGCGTGCTGGTGTAAATAGGGTGCTGGCACTGTGTCCCCTGTCCCCATACCAGTCTGTGCCTTTCCCCACAGTTATTGATTACCGTCTCGGATGTCCCCAAACGCTGATGACTTCCCCTCCCATCCCCGTGGTGATGTCTCGGAGCCAGGTGGATCCGTCTCGGTGCCGTGTCGTCGTTTACGGCTTTATGGGTTTGGGGCGGGGGCAGTGGGGAGCGCGCAGCGCGGAGCGCAGGCCTTCCTGCCAACCCTTCACCGCAGGGGACACGCCCTCCCCTTCCCCCTCCCCTCCCCCCTTTTCCCTTCTCGCGGTGAGCGTGCCCTTTCCTCTGTCCTCTTCCTGCTTCCGTAAGCACCCGGCACCCCTGCGTCCGGTCGTGGTGTCCCACCCCCCCACCCCTCCTGTTCTTACGCGTGATTCGCGGCAATATGTGGCTGCGATGTGGGGAAGGCCAGAGAGGGGGAGCTTGAGCTTCCTGCTCCAGCCCTCCCCTCCCCTTCCCTCCCCTTTCTTACCTTTCCCACCCCGGGCGGGGGGTTGCTTAGGCTACACTCCCATCTAGAAGGAAAGAACTAGAAAAATTTAAATGCTATCTGACAAAATCTTTCAGCTGCAGTGCTTGTAGAGTTGTATCGACTTGCCTAGCCTGCAGTCTAGTTTGAAGTGGTTGACACCTCTTTGCAAGTTTTAGACTGTTTTGTGCATGCAGTGTCTTAGTAGTTACATTTGTGCTTCGTGTGAATGCTTTATCAGGTGCTACATCATGGTCAGCCGAGAGTTCCGATTTCCAGCAGTATTTCATCATAGACTTGGGAAATGTCATGAACATTACTCGCATCGACACTCAAGGCCGCAAGCACACTGTTGAGTATGTAGCTGAGTACACCGTCAGTTACGGTACCAATGGCCTTGATTATGCTGACTACAAGGAAGATGATGGCAACACAAAGGTATCAATTTGCTTTGTATTTAGATTGCATGAGAGCACTTGCTAACTGTACACAAGGCTTTTTCTTGTAGATAAATAGGTGGCAGATTGAGAAACTATCAATTTAACTGCATGTTACTTCAAATAATTTTCTATCTTTCAAAATGATTAACAAATCCGGTCAAACTACTGAGATATGTCCTCTAACATTGTTTATTTTATCACAAGGATAAGTTTATGAAATCAAGGAATATATGTATTTCTAACTAATAATAAAATGGTTGCATGTCTACTAATCAGTTTAGGGTGGATTAGGGTCCTAATAATTCTGTACTACAACGGTGGTGGGGTTCTTGCTTGGTTGATGTGTCACAGGTGAGCACGCTTGGGTTCCGGAGGATGACACCTACTACCACTACCTAACATTTGAATTCTCAGAGCGAATGGAAGTTCATGCCATTGCCACTCAAGGACTACACTCTACTGAGCAATTTGTGACTGAATTCATTGTTCAATACAGTGATGATGGCCAGGCATGGCGAAATATCATAAGTGCTGATGGAGAAACTGAGGTATATCATTTAGTAGATGTTGTTTGTTATGCTTGTTCTAATTATTTTTATATAAAAAATTATTGAGTCAAATTTGTGTGATTATCAGTTTGTATGCTATTTATTTAACTGTTTTGTTTTTGTTTTTTAAATTAAAAAGAAAAAGATGTAGAGAAATTGTCGACTCAGTTCTAGACACATTTTGTAGTGTTTTATTGTTTTTTGTTCTCATTTATGGTTTGTGGTCTGTATTTTTTCATTTTGCTGACCTTGCATGTTATTTCTGGTATATTCATTGGTATGATGTCAGCTAAGTGCATGCACCCCTCCATTGTCAATCCTGCATGTTCTGTCTGTTTTACCCACTTTAACCCTGCTTTGGGTGTGTGAGCACTTGTGCTTGGTGTGTTCTTCAATATTTCTCATTTTGTTGAACCTAGTGATTCACAATTTGATGATTTGCATTAATTTTGTAGTTTTCTGGTCTTGATATGCTGATACAGTTAAAGCAACTAGTTCGTGTAGGTCTTTGCTAACATGTTCCAATTTTTGTACAGATGTTCAAGGGTAACCGAGATTCAGATTCCATCAGACGTAATTCCTTTGACATTCCCATAATCGCTCAGTGGATTAGAATAAACCCCACAAGGTGGAACAACCGTATTTCAATGAGAGTTGAGGTCTATGGGTGTGAATATGGTGAGTTCCCCCCTCATGTTCCATTATTTCACCTTGGTGTTATATCTTCTATTACATGTAATTTGTTTTTAATTTTCCAGAATCTGATGTCATATCATTCAATGGAACCTCTCTAGTTCATATGGATCTGATGCGTGAGCCAGTCTCAGCTCTCAAAGAATCTATCCGTTTCCGTTTCAAAACCAATCAAGCCAACGGGGTTGTCATGTACAGCCGAGGCACACAAAATGACTATTTCGCAATGCAGATGAGGGAGAACCGCATGTTACTCAACATTAATCTTGGTCTGTATATTGGTGTGAGAGATTTAGCCTGCTTGGATAACATCATTATTAAAATTTACTTTTGAAATTTCTTGACAGGTTCCGGATTGATGACAAGCTTATCTGTTGGCTCTCTTCTGGATGACAATATTTGGCATGATGTGGTTTACTCAAGATATAAAAGAGACATCGTCTTTTCTGTTGATCGAGTTGCTATTAAAGGCAGAGTCAAAGGAGAATTTCTTCGCCTTGATTTAAACCAAAAATTCTACATTGGTGGAGTACCAAACAGGCAGGAAGGTCTCATGGTAAATCAAAACTTCTCTGGTTGTATTGAAAACTTATACATAAACTCCACCAATATTGGTCATGAAATGAAAGTAGAAAGGGAGTACATTTCTGCTTATACAGTGCCACGTTATTATTATCAGCACATTCTGTACAGTTGCTTTGTAAGTAACCCCCAACATACATATTAATTGATTAATTATCTTTGAAAGAACAATTGTAATGTTTGGCTTTTTTTTTTTTCTAGGATCGACCTATTATTCCTGTGACCTTTTTGACCACCACATCATATGCCAGACTTGTTGGGTATGAAGGTGTCCAATCATTGAATGTAACCTTTTCGTTTAGAACCTATGAACCAGACGGTCTTCTTCTGTATCATGCATTTACTGCTGGGGGCTTTCTGAAGGTATGTGTATACCTGCGTATCTGGTGCTCTTGTTTTTCTCACTGGTGACTTACCTCTCATTTGTCCTTGTCCACTTTATTTAGCTGTTCCTGGAGCATGGAAAAGTGAAGGTGCAGATTGAAACTAATGGAAATCCTAGAGCAACACTTGACAACTATGATGTTGAGTTTAATGATGGACGCTGGCATGAAGTTACAATAACAGTGTTGAGAGATTTGTTGATCCTCTCTGTTGACAATCAGCCCATGAGGACCTCTAGAATAATTAGAATGACAACTGGCCTTCACTACCTGATCGGTGGTGGTGTTCATGGTACACCAGGATTTGTTGGGTGCATGCGGAAAATAAGTGTTGATGGCAACTATAAACTTCCTACAGACTGGAAGGAGGAGGTAAAATTTACGTCAAGTAGATATGATGATGCACTTGCTTTGTTCACACACTCGATAACCATATTGATTTCTTTTTGTGTTCACAGGAGTATTGTTGCAAGAATGAAGTTGTCTTTGACGCCTGTCAAATGATTGATAGGTGCAACCCAAACCCCTGCAAACATGGAGGCTTTTGTCGACAGGACTCTCATGAATTCTTTTGTGAATGTGCTGGGACAGGGTACACTGGAGCAGTGTGCCATACCTGTGAGTTTTTTTGTGTTTTTTTCGTTTCTTTGTTGATGATTTCTTGGTACAGCTGTTAATTACGTACAATATTTTTTAAAAAGCTTGTAAGTTGTAGTTTTAACCTTACTGTAATCAACTATTTTTTTTACTTCCAAATTCAGCTTTGAACCCTCTGTCATGTGAAGCTTATAAAAACACCAACCCTGTTGGTCAAAAGGCACTTGTGAAAATTGATGTGGATGGAAGTGGGCCACTGCCTCCTTTCCCTGTAACGTGTGAATTTTATAGTAAGTATAACATGTCTTCAAACTTTTCTGTGATTCTAATATCAACACTCTGTTAAAAACTCCCAATCCTTCCTTTAGGTGATGGAAGGATTATGACAGTAGTCAACCACAACAATGAAGATCCCACCCCAGTGGATGGGTTCCAAGAACCTGGAAGCTATGTTCACAATGTTATTTATGAAGCTGAAATGACACAAATTGAGGCACTTATCAATCGATCCAGCACTTGCCGTCAAAGGTTGCACTATGCCTGCAAAAACTCAAAATTGCTCAACTCTCCCTGTAAGTGTTGTTATCTTGATTGAAGTAATATTTCGGTGTCTTACACAATTCTACATAGTACTCTGAAATGTTCACTTTTCTTCAGCACTTCCCAACATGCCGTTCCAACCTTTCTCATGGTGGGTGTCTCGATCCAATCAGCGCATGGACTATTGGGGAGGTGCTTTACCTGGATCACGTAAATGTGAATGTGGAATTTTGGGGACCTGCAGAGACCCCACTAAGTGGTGTAATTGTGACGGAAGTAAGTTCTTGTCTTATAGACGATTAATTATTTTGCCTAGAAAGTGTTCTGAGTTTACATTGCTTTACCTCTTCTTTTAGGTTCAATCAATAAACTTGGTCACTATGATGAATGGTCAGAGGATGGGGGTTACCTCACACAAAAAGAATATCTCCCAGCCAAACAGCTACGCATTGGAGATACAGGAAACCCAGTAGACAACAAAGAGGGCAGATTTACTCTTGGGCCTCTGATTTGTGAGGGTGATGGTAAGTTTCAGCACCCTGCACTGTGATCATGTATTTGTATTAGCAAGTCACTATCAAAACTGACACTTTTATTTTACTGTTTTCAGACTTGTTTAATAATGTTGTCACCTTCCGGATAGTTGATGCTACCATTGATTTGCCAACATTTGACATTGGCCATAGTGGTGATATTTATTTTGAATTTAAAACTACAATTGAAAATGCTGTCATATTGCACAGCAAGGGCCCTACTGATTACATAAAAATTTCAATCATTGGTAAGTTTCTGTTATCTGGTACAATACTTTTACCCCATTTGAGTTTCTCTTTTACAATAACATTAAAATAAAATTTTAGGTGGAAACAAGTTGCAATTCCAGTACCAGGCTGGAGGAGGGCCACTTGGTGTTAGTGTAGAAACAGCATACAAACTGGTTGACAACCGATGGCATTCGGTTTCAGTGGAACGCAACAGGTAACCTTCCACATGTTTCAGTTATTTGTTGTTTATTCTGTTTTTTCTTTTCTTCCTTTTGCTAATTCTTTCTATTACTCTAGGAAAGAGGCTCGTATAGTTGTGGATGGTGCATTAAAAGCTGAAGTGAAAGAACCACCAGGACCAGTTCGAGCTCTTCATCTTACCTCATCTCTTGTGCTGGGGGCTTCAGTTGATTACCGAGACGGCTTCGTCGGCTGCATTCGAGCTATGTTACTGAATGGACAGCTTGTGGACCTGAAAAGATTTGCACGATACGGCTTGTATGGTAAGTGTTTCTGAATAGAATAAAATCATGTCCTCATATGATCTTATGTTAGCATCTTATTTATTTTCAACTGCTTCTCTATTATAGGTGTGAGTCCTGGCTGTGTTGGTAAATGTGAAAGTAATCCATGCCTGAATAACGGCACTTGCCATGAGCGTTATGATGGATATAATTGCGACTGTCGTTGGACTGCATTTAAGGGGCCTATTTGCGCTGATGGTAATTGTTTGCCTAGCATTTGAAAATTTCATTTGATCTTTTCAAGAAATTGTGATACTTTATTTTCATTCTTGATTTTCAGAAATTGGTGTTACCATGAGAGCTGGTTCAATGATCAAATATGACTTTATGGGAAGTTGGCGCTCAACCATATCAGAGAACATTCGTGTTGGATTTACGACTACAAACCCGAAAGGCTTCTTGCTTGGCTTCTTCTCTAATATCACTGGCGAATACCTGACCATTATGGTGTCAAACAGCGGTATGTACAAAGTTTCTTCTCTCATCGCTTCTATTTAACAACTTGTTTGTTGTACCATGTGTGCTTATATGAGTTGGTATTCTGTTATTTCTTTAGGTGTGCTTCGTGTTGTATTTGATTTTGGTTTTGAAAGGCAAGAGAGATTCTTTGAAGGAAAGCATTTGGGTCTAGGACAGTATCATGATGTAAGAATCAGCAGGAAGAATGGTGGTTCCACACTTGTCATGCAGGTACAAAGAAAAGAAGTTAGAATCTCTTATAACATGAGCTTGTACAGCCGCTAATATTAATGCATTGTTTTGCTACAGGTCGATAATGAGATCAAAGAATTTAACTTCTCTGTGAAGGGATCAGCTGATGCTCAGTTCAATAACATTCAGTACTTGTACATTGGCCGCAATGAATCAATGAATGAAGGTTTTGTAGGATGCATATCGCGAATTGAGTTCGATGATATCTACCCCCTCAAGTTGCTGTTCCAAGAGCGAGGTCCTCCAAATGTCAGGTCCCTTGGTAGTAAGTATCCCTGTGAGCCTGGCTTTCTCTCCAAAGTCAAGAAGGTTCAGAAATCAATGCCTGTTTTATTTTATTCTAGCTACCATCGCCACCGAAGACTACTGTGGTGTTGAACCAGTGACTCATCCTCCATACATCCCAGAAGTGAGACCACCGCCTCTCTTGGACGATGAGAAAGTTCAAAAAGCTTACCGCCGCACCGATTCGGCCATTCTCGGCGGCGTACTGGCGATCATTTTCATTGCTCTTGTAATAATGGCCATTTTGCTGGGCCGGTTTTTGGCCCGGCACAAGGGCGAGTATTTGACCCAAGAAGATAAGGGCGCCCAGTATGCCAACGATCCTGACTCGGCGGTGGTTCAAGGGGAACGGGGACATCAAGTAACAAAACGGAAAGAGTGGTTTATTTGAAGTCAGCACGCCTTTTTTCGGTTTGGTTCATTTTAAAGAGTTTCAGTCGCCCTCCTGTGAGGATTTCTTAGTTACCTTTTCCCTTTTGTTTTTATCTGTGAAAATAATGCCAGTGTTTTGGTGGCTAATGATCTTGTTAGTAAATTTCGAAATTGGGAATCCAGGTAGAGAGATCTAGTCCCACCAGTATATTGTTATTTGATTCTAAGCTTATACATTTGGAGTTGGAACAAAATTCTTGCTGAATTAATTTAGCACTGATGGCATTTGTGCTGTTCAAGATGAATATACTGTGGTATGTCCCTTTTTTTTCTAAACTCAGTATTTTATTCTCTGACCAATATTTATAAATATATATACCAATTTTTACTTTATAACAAACAGACTCCCCTTTTCTATTTTGTTAAAAAAATTGTTACTATTTTCCCTGTTGTCCCACTTTAATTTCTTACTGTGGGCTTAGCTAGAGGAATCATTCCTGCAAACGTTTTGTTTGGATCAATCTTTTTGTACAAAATCTCAATTGTTGCTCTTTCAGTCTTTTCCTTTTTGCACAAATATGCTTTAGGCCTGTTAAGTAGGTAAGTTCTGTATAGAGCTGATGATTGCTCTAGTATTTCACTTTGTCTTCCCAGGTCGTGCAAGTAGAATACAATCATTACTAAGAGTCAACAGGTAAAACACTGTGGTAATCTTAATTTTTTTTGTATTATCCTATATGAGTTGCTTTCCCCTCCTCTTCGAATTTTGAATCAATTTTAGATTTGCCATAAGAGTTATGTATTTAGTATGATTGTTTCTCATTTTAATTTAGTTATATAACAATATTTAGCAAAGTTGGTTTGTATATTGTTTTGAGTTTATTGGGACGATACATCTTTCCTGAAGATGAGATAACAAGGCATCTGCCATATTTATTTCCAAGGGGCACTGCACTCATATTAGTGACTTGGAAAATGTAGTTTGGTGCACCCATAGTATTAAATGATCTGAGGCTATGGTGAGCAATTGTTTAGTGTGATCATAGCCTAGAAATCTTTAGGTTAAAATTAATTTGATGGAGCCAATGTGTGATTTTCTGGCTCTGGTTGTTCCATCTATTTTTTAATGTGTCATGTGGTAGACCGATGATTGTGAGCAGCCTAATGCCTGAACATAGTTCTCACTTAGTTTCCTTTGTAATTTTATACATTTTTACTTAAACCTTAGCATGTATATCACAGAAATTATTTACATTCAACCCATCCAGAAGTACATCATTGCTTATTTATTCTTTAGAGAGGGAACAATGCTTGATGTCCATTGTTTTGTGATTGCCATGTTATGTATTATAAATGGCTGAGAGTATTCTGTCAATCAGCCATTGGTCAAGGGTACACTGCCTTAAATTTTTGAGCAGTGAGAAACTGAAAACCATCACACTGGTTGATCCTGTTGCCAGGGAAGGGCGTGAAAGGTTTTCAGGGATGTGTAGACTTAATTAGATCCGTCCATTACTGTGTATTACTCACTTAAGACTTGAACTTTTCTATGTGCGTCTTATAACTTGTTGCCAGTGTCAGTATTTTTTTATTATTTTGAATTGAAAGCTGTTACTTACCTTTCATGATATGAATCAGAGTAATTTTCTCATACTTGCTTATTTTTTTTTGTATATTTCTTTTTGTTTTATATACATTCCATAAAGATTTTTTTTTAATCCATGTCAACGTTTTTTCTTCTTGTGCTTGACTTCTTAAATAAAAAATTGTTGGATCTGTTTATTTTTAGTATCCAATCAGTGTAAATTACCAAATTATTTTGTTAGACATGATTTGTGGCCCTTACATGTCCACTTTGGGAAATTGGAAGGTGCACATAAATCAGTGATCTCATAAGGATGTATAAAAGATGTACAAAAACAACACTGAAATAAATGTTTGGTATTTCTTTACTGAACTTTACAGAATTACAGGTCATTATTTCCCCCCAAATTTCTTTGATACAGGTGCCAATTGCTTCTTTTTTCCCTTTCTTTTCTTAAATTTTTTCTGATTGATACTATTTCCTTTAACTTCTGAAGACTTAACTATTTCCATTGCATCAGTGCCTAAGCCTTTGTGTCTGCGTTTATCCTTCTTCCGTTTAACATTTGAAATATTTTGCAACTCTGAAGTAACAGTCATACCCTCTTCAGCAACATCTATTGAGGGGTCGGCAACTTCCTTTCCCTCACTGCTTGGACCCTCTCCATTCTTTGATCTGCGTTTATCCTTCTTCCGCTTGACATTTTGAGTATTTTCATGTAAGGGCTCTAAATTTACATCCATGGCCTCATCTGTCTCTTCAGCTACAAGCACCTTTTTCTTTCTTTTCTCTTTCTCTGGTATTTTAGCACCAATTTCAGCAGAGGAATTATGATCATTATCCAATGAGTCATCTGATTTAATTTTTTTGGATTCATTCTGTTCAGAGTCCACTGAATCATTTACAGAGGAACGTTTCTTTCTCTTTTTAACCTCAACATGAGAGTTACAAGTTTCGCTTGAAATATCTTCATCTTTGATGGGTTTCTCACTGTCATTTTCACCAACAACATTGCTATCTTCCTTAATGTTCCCCTCAAAATCGTCATCACTGCCTGAATCCGAATCTTTCAAATCATCATCAGATTCTTGGGTTTTTGACTGAATGGTAGGTTGCACCTAAAGAGAGATTGATATTTCCAAATTATTGACAAAGAAGAGATGCTGCCTATAACAAGCATAAAAATCAATTCAGAGTGTATAATAAAAGGGGGAAAAATCTTACCTTAGGCTTAAGTTTGGTGCGCAGTTCAGCTAATGAAATCAATAAGGCCTCCTCGGTTCTGATTGTCCTGCTGCCTTGATTTGGGCAGGTGTTCAAGTAATGGTCGAAGAGGAGAGCCGGGTCATCCACTGTTAGGACAGGGTCTGCTTCCAGTGCAGCCTCTATGCCAGCCAGCCCACCAAACACAACCAGAGCATGATGATGTGAGGGAAGAGACACGGTCTCCACCGCAGTGCCTCGCTCCGACGTACCAATTGAAACATCATACCTGAAAAGGGATAGCATAAAAAGGCAGTTGGACAACTATAGAAGAGGAAAGACATGGTGAGGAATATTGTTGAAGTCATACCCTTCTTTATAGGGACATTCAGTAAAGACTGTGTTTAATGAACTTGCTAATCGTACAGAATATCCCCAGTAAACACCAGTTTCTTTCTGAGGCTGAGAGGGTGAAACGACTCTTCCACAAAGACGTTTTGCTTCAGGAGGTGTTGGGAGCATTTCCACAGTAACTCTAATGCCAGATTGTAAAGGAATACCCACTTTGACATGTTTAAGTAGGCCTACATTTACATAAGAGCCATTCCTTGCTGGTTGCGGTAGGACAACACCTTCCCTAAAAATTGAAGAAATTGGTAAAGACAGAAACACAATAGAATTAGGCATGAAAGTAAAATCAATGGCATATTACCTAAATCGCTCATCGTCTTGCATTCTCATGTGATGAGGAGCATCAAGCGGATTCAACAGTCCTGCATATTCCAAGTCCTTGTGGAAGGGGAAAAACTCTTTTCTTAGGTACTGTGGGCATTCTAGATATTGCAATATTCTGGCAAGAGTGGCACAACATGGCCTTGCAGGCCGAACCTCTCCACTGTCAGATAAACTTTCTACTGTTTTGTCAGCAAAACGGTCATAAATACCAACGTCATCATAAACAATAACCTACAATAAAAGCAATAGAAAACTCAAATAAAGAAATGGCTCCAAAACCCGGGCGTAAACAGTGTGTCATTATTTTACCTCATCAACTTTATAGACGCACGCTGCTCTAGCTATCTGCCCAGCGAGATACGTTCTCAACTCCACAGACTGGGCATTATCAAGAATGGATCCTGGCACCGCTATACTAAGAGTTGAGGGCTCTTCACAAATTGGCTTTTTCTTATCTTTTTTATTCTTTGTATCTTTTGCGGATGGCTCAGCCTCTTTCTGCTTTTGCTTCTCAAGTTTTTGGACAAGATACTCTTGCTTCCGTTTCCTTATCTCCTTCTTTCCGATATGGAACTCTCTCCAGGTTTTGAACCCCGCTGGGACGGGCTCTTTTGGACCTTTTGTCGGCATGGTCAAGACACTTAGTTCCTGACGTTGTGCAGTACTTAGCTGAAAACGATGAGTTAAAGTAGGTTATGTTTCACAGTCGGTAACCAAACAATGAGGTCAGTTATATTCAATGTACGCTGATTGAACCGTGCCTGTAATAAGCAAGCAAGTAAAAATGATAACCTTTATGTAGGCGTAGTTACATAGCACAAGATAACACAAAAGTCTCGATAAAATGTTTTCAAAACATTGAACGAGCACACGTGAAACACCGTTAACGTCTTCTGCACCACCACCACAGTACAAGTGGCATTGCCAACAACAGCTTACTAAAACCTACTCCCACACACCAAATCCTTTGCTAAATAAAGACCAAAACAGGAGCAAAAAGTATTATTACGAGTTTCAGGTGAAAAATTGTTTTTATTTTTGGGCTCGAATACAAAAATAAGCCCGTAAACATTGTCGCCCCTCATGCGAGAAACTTGATTAGTTGAGGGTGGCCAGCCCTGACCCACAGTGCACGGTTTTTGTTTACTAGCTTAGCGCGCGAAGATTCGAACCACGGCCCCACCCAACCCTCTGTCAACAACGCCCTACTTGGCCGCCGTTACGTTACTGTGCCAATATCAACGATTTGAAACACCCAGAAGAAGAACAAGATTCCGACGCGGGCATTGCGTTACTGCGTTGCCAGGGCAAAACGGTGCGAACTATCCTTACGAAGGCTGGGCGAAATACTAGAAAGGTGGAAAGGTCATTCAACAAACAGGGAATGCCTGGGAGAGAACGCGGCGGTACTGCATTTTGACGCAGAAATCCTGGACTGTGCACACATCGAAAAGGGGTGCGCGCGGCGGGACGGAGGGAGGCGAGGACTTCGTGTCTTTCCAACGCCACCCACAAATATCTCCCGTGTTACCCGTCGGCCCGGCCTGGAGAAGTGGGGCTGGAGAAAGAAAGAGAAGGGGGAGCGGTGGGAGCGGGGAACGGGGAAAGAGAGAGAGAAAGAGAAAGATGGAGAGAGGGGGGTCCAGCAGATAGGGGGAGGGCGGAGGGCGGGCCGCAGAGCTGCGCCGCCAGCCGCATACCTGGCCGCCCGTGTGTCTTCCAGACCAACCTGTGGAAAGCCCAGCCCAAGCCCAAGCTGGCCAAGCTGGCCAAGCAGGCCCAGCCCGCGGCGCAAGGCAGGCGGCGCGGGGCTGCGCGGGGCGGGGCGGGGCGGGCCGGCGAACCAAACCGTTGTCCCGAAGCACGCAGCGCGCAGCGTGACGCAGGACTCGTAGGACGCACAAAGCCCTTGGCTGTCTTGGCGCGGCCAGGGCTCCAGGGCGGCGATGTACTATGCAGGACGCATCACGTACGCCCCGGAGCCACCCGCGGGTCTCGGGTCTCGGCAGGTGGCCGTCGTCCTGGGCAAGCGCGGCGACACGCGGCGACGGCCGAGGACGAGGACGGGGGACAGCCACCGGCGCCTCGTCGAGCCTTCAGCCTTCGCAGACGCCAGCTAAGCGCAGCTAAGCGGTCCACACCTGAGTCACTGGCTGGCCGTCTGTGATTGCGCCAGGGAACCACATATCTGCAGAATGATTCTATTCATTCTTCCGCACGGGGGCTTCGTCGAACTGTCTCTCTCGCACTCGTCAAGCGTCCGCCCCGGCCGGCAGCCCCGGCAGGGTCCAGGGCGGCACTGTCTGACTCACTCCCCAATTTCGCCGGACTCGCGTGCGGCGCCGCCACGCCGCCACGCCGCCACGCCGCGCCTATCGCCCGGCACACTGGCAAACACACACAGTCACACAGACACACACTCACAGACGGACGCACCGCGGCTGGAACTGGAAAGGCGACGCCACCGCCGCGCCGCCGCGTTGGTGCGTTCGCCATTTACGCGCGCTCCCCGCAAACACAAACACCTTCCGGCAGGCTGATTCCGAACAGCGCTTCTTAGCTCCGTCTCTCTCGCACCCACGAGGCACGCCCCTCGGGAGCGAGAGAGACGGAGCACGCCGAGGAGGCTGCTTTGCTCCGCGTGCTCCGCGGGTCACTGCAAGGGCTTTCCAGCTCCGCGACCGACCGTCTGTCTCGCCGTGGCTGTGCGGGGCTGTGCGCCTCAAGGTCCTGGGCGCGGTGCCGCCTTGGCGGTGCTGGCCCGGGCGGGGTGGCGGGGTGGTGGCGGCGAGCCTAGGTGGATATACCTCTACCTGCTGGCAGCCCGTTTATTTAGGACATATTCTCGGAAGTGTGAGCAAAGAAGGGCCTGGAGGGGCCCAGCCAGCCATGCGCTACGTGCCCAGGGCGTGCCCCGTGTCTCTTGGTCTTGGTGGCGCGCTATCACCACCTCCAGCGACACGTGGACAGGAGGCTCGCTTGCTTGGCTTGCTTGGTCATGACGTCCGGCTGAAATCGAGTAAACAACCGCACAGTGTACAGTGTCCGTTCGCGCTAAGAGTGTAGTGTCCGGGCCTCCTTGCGGAAGTCCGCCACGTGTGTGTTTGGAGGCCCATGGCGTTCTCAACAGACGACGGACAGACAGACACACACACACACACAGACACACACACACTCACACACGCTGCACATGGCGTGCAGTGTCCCATTGGGCCCGGGCCGCGCCGCCCCTTGATTGGGGCCGCCGAATAGGGGAGTGGCGGTGTCCTGTCACTCTGGCTGCGCTGCTGCGCTAGACTAGACCGCTAGGCCAGGCCATTGGAGTGAAGGTTGTTCTCCACGATAGAGCCACCTAGGCCTGGCTGGGCGGGGCGGGCTTGGCGCGGGCCCAGGGCGCAACTCTCCCCAGAGAGACACCCCTGACTGAACGCAGCTCCAACCCTAACCGCTTCCGGCAGAGGCCAGGCCGTAGGTAGACAAATTGGTTCCCCTCCGTGATGGTCCAGCTCCCAGACTCCCCCAATCGGCCCGTTCGGCCCTGCCTGGCCCTTCCCCTACACCATTAGCGGGCAGCCACTGAGCTACCCGCTGTTAGTACCTGTCAGTGCGGAGTGGCGGAGCGGCGGAGCGGCGGAGTGCGGGACTCTGGGGGCAAAAGGTACAAAAGGGAAGGGTTCGGGTCGCTGCAGTCGCTGGCTGTGCTGCTGCAGCGCGCATTCCTCATTCCTCTCGCCATGCTCGCCAGCCTGACGAGGGTCGGGGAGGGGAGGGGGACTGGGGGCTGCGTCCGGGTGGGGCTCACCTGTGGACTGACTCCGAGAGTCGTTTTCGTCGCTCTGTCTCCCTCGCACTCATGGGGCATCCCCTATAGGTGCGAGAGAGACAGATCGACGGCCACACTGTGCGGAATCCGAAGGGGACCCGAGTGCCCCCACGGGGTGCGGTGCCCCTCGGACGCAGCCCCGGCAGTGGGAGCCAAGGGCCTGCTTGGCCAGCACGGTAGCTGGCGGCACCTGCGTCCCGCGTGGCGCGAGTGCTGCTGAAGTGCTAGAAGTGGCACGGCCGAAACGGCGGCGCGACTAGTAAACACTGTACTACTGTACTGTATGTGCACCTACAGTGGAAGTGCTAGATTTGGCGCGGCCCGAACGGCGCGACTGCTCACTACACTAGAGTGCAGGGCACGCTGCGGCACTGCAGGAGCGTAACCAGCGTAACGCGGTAGTGCAGCACGGGATGAGTCATCGCGCTGGAGTCCAGGAGGCAGACAGGTCCAGTCAGGCAGGCAGGCAGGCAGGCAGGCAGGCAGGCAGGCAGGCAGGCAGCCTCCAGCGAGCTGCCCCTCCAAAGCGTGACGATCGACGAACATTACTGCGCCAACCTCGCCTTGTTCATTCAGCTCGCGAAAGGGACTCCGGCGACACAGTGGCGACACAAAACACAAAACGGATTCCTGTCCCGGCGGCGCGTTTCCACTTGTTCTAGGTCACCGGAGGGCTGAACCCGCGACGTCTGGGCCGCCCGGGGACCGCCAGTAAGCAGGTGCCAACTTTTGGACGGGTCTCAGAAGGGCTCTCTGGAGAATAGAGTTGAAAACAGCGACAAAAATGTTTCCACTTCGGCTGTAGCTCCTCGGCTCCTGCACACTGATTCCGAGACTCGTCGCTCTGTCTCTCTCGCACTCATGGTGCGTGCCGTATAGGTGCGAGCGAGCCAGAGCGACGACGACGACTCTCGGAGCTGGTGCCGGTCATCCTCATTATCATGCGCTGCGCCCGATTGGCTCCCGATGCCGCCGCCCAGCCGGACAGCCGGACACTCGCCGACGAAGCTGGAACTACTGGCTGCCGGGGCGCTGGCATGCTGGAGCTGGAGAAGAACCACAGCAGGGAAGGGTAGGGAAGGGGCCACCGCTGCTGCTACTGAAAAGAAAACACCTCGCTGCGCCTCGCCTGCCTCGCCTGGCCAGGCCGGCTACTGGAGTGAGACAGAAACACGCGCCCCGCCGCCTCGCCTTCGCCGACGAGTGTGGAGTCTGGCCGGAGTCTGGGGCCTCTGCTGGAGGCTGGAGAGGTCGGTGTCGTCTCACCGCGCCACGCCGCCACGCCGCACGCCGATGAAGCCGTGTGGGAGACAATAAAGCACGGTTCGGGCGGAGCGCGGAGCAGGCGGAGGTAAAGGGAAGGCCAGCCGTGGCCGCGCACCGCAGCCACGGCCACGGCACGGCCACGGCACGGCCACGGCGAGCCGGAATCATGAGTCGAGTCGAGCCTTCGCCTTAGGCCCTTTGCTTCGTGAGGCCGGGCCGGGCTGGAGTCATGGCGTGGCGGGGCGTGGCGGGGCGTGGCGGTGATGGTGAGAACGCTCCGCGTGTAGCGGAGTGGAGACCTCACCTCCCCGCCGGCCTAAGGCCCCGCGATCGGGGTCGGAGCCGGGGTGGCTTGCTTGGCGTGCTTGCTGGTACCTGTGGTCCGTGGCGTGGCGTGGCGCACCTCTTTGCCGGTACCCCTGTACACCCTGTACTGCGGTGCCCCGGCGGGACGGCCGGGAACGCCGTCTGGCCTAAAGGCAGCCCAAAGGCAGCCCAAAGGCAGCCCAAAGGCCGGCCGGACCGGCTGGGCGGCTTGCATGGCTGGCTGGCTGGACGGCTGGATGTATCTGGCCGGTCTGGCGGCTGGAGAGACTCCAGGCTGGTCTGGCTGGAGAGCCGAGGCTGGTCCGGCTGGAGCGGCCCGCCGCCGCGCGTGCAGCGCGCAGTCGTGAGCCGGATGCACGGAGGGCCGGCACTGGCTCCAAAAGTTGGTCGTGCTGGAGAAATGCTGCTGGAAGCTGGAAGACCGATGCAGGCAGCCTTCTGACGTCACTCTGACGTCCAGCAGCGCGGCCACGGTGTGCTCACGGCGAGCGTCGCGGAGCTCGCAAACCAAAGGAGGCTCGGCTCTGCTACC